GTAGCTACAGAGGTGCTTGCTTGATCGCTATCGTTGGACTGTGAGACTGATGATGGTGATGAAAACAGAGGCAATAAAGATGCTAATGAATAAGATGGGGAAAGTAATGAGGAAGTGGGCAAGGAGGATGACAAAGCCTGAAGAGGGGGTGAAGATGCCATCACAGAGGACAAGAGTGGCTCAGATGACTCTGCTGATGTAAACAGATAATTTGGTGCTGGTGTTGATGACAGCGAGTGACGCAGAGATGACAGTGAGGAAGAGGCTGGAAATGCTGATGAAGATAAAGATGACTTGCCAGCGGTCAACAACCCGGAGTCAGTGTTGAAGAGAGTTGTATGTTGTACGCTGCCTGCAGAAGCAGAAGTCAACTGTTTGGAAGAGTGTACTAGCAACGGCTCTGTAGATGGTTCAACAAAGCTGCCATCACTGGTTATATTGCTCCTCCTGTCCTGTGCCACAGAAGATTTTGATGAATCAGAGAGGTTGGAAATTTCAGAAAAAAAGGTGGAACTTTCTGAGGAGTCAGCAGAGGTGCTGCTATTCGAGATAGACAGGAGGGTCCTTTCTCCTCCTCTGGTATATGTGGTTGAAATGTATGTGCCATCCGTATGAGAAACCGAGGTCCTTTTCTCAGCATCAATGCTACTGACTGACTGATGACTACTTGAAAAGCCTGGAGTAAAAGAACAAAATATATTAGAAAGATGGAGTAATACGAAAGTACTTTGATGTCATATTAATTTGCTAAATACATAAAATGTTCTTGTTTGTGAACAGGCCATGCTCTTCAAAAAATTCAGAGCATCGTCCAAACATCGGTATTAAATTACGACTCTTCTGCACTTAATTGGTTCTAAAATGGTGAACTCGGACAGATACAAGGCTCCTGTGAAATGCGTAGGTTTCTAAAACACTGTCCTTCCAGTATTGCTTTTCTAATGTGATTGAGCGCTTATCCTTCCATGATATTTTGTGGCAAGCTAAGCAGGAAAACCTATCTGTTCTCTTTATCACTTGTAATTTATGAAACTCATATCCTCTCCTTTTTGTCCTCAATTCCCAGCTAAAGAATATCCATTTTCTTCCATTGATTTGTTTCTAGACACAGTGATCTTCATGCTTCTGCAGGGTTAATTTATTGCGTTACGTTACTTTGCAGCTTATCATGAACTCACTGATTGAAAACTTTGCAGTCAGGAAACCCTAAATGATCACCACATCAGTCTGCAAAATAGTCAGATTATCTACTATAAAAGGTGCAGTCAATTTCAGGATGTACAGCTAAGTTCAGCAATCTCTAAAAATAAAAAACAGGGTATTGAGATGTTGATTTAATTCTACAATTCACTTAGGTCATCATGAAACACTTGAAATTATCACCCAAAAGAAACCACTTAGGATGCAAAAAAATAATAAGGACATCAAAACAGGAGAGTTTCCCTGCTCTGGTTCATGGCTTCACCTCCAGAATGATTCCCAGCTAGAGAGGTCTGGTTTTGAGTCCTTTGATGAAAACTTTCCCCTGAATGAACCCTCAGGTGGCATTGCATATACTAATGAATGAGAATTTTGAGTAAAACATAGATAAATGCAGCTCAATGTGAACTTCTCCCCGCCCCAAATGTATGCTGGGAGACACCAACTTACTTGTGAGATCGTTTTGGACAGAAGAGTAAGGGGGTATCTTGGAAGAACGCGTGAAGAGTGTCTCTGTTGCGAAGCCCCTGCTGCCGGTGGAGGCATTGGTTGTCCCACTCTGCTCCACTGACACCGGCTGAGCTGGCACCGGAGAGCTGTCAGTTTCAGCATAGGAAGCAGAGCTCTCCGTGCTGCCAGCCAGCACACCATCCGTCACCGAGTGCAGCGTCCTCTCTCCATCCCCAGCAGACCTGGATGAACTGTACACAGGATCAGTGATGGGGCTGGACATCCTTTCCTCGGCACTCAAGCTGCTTAGGGAGTGATGGCTGCTGCCCACAGCTGGAATAGGATCGAAAAGCAGGCATCTGATTTTATCATCTCAGAGTAGACAGCACTTGTGAGTTCTACAATAATTCTGCTTGGAAATGCAGATTAATAAAATTGCACAGATAAACAAAGATTAAATACAGATTAAGAAGTTCTCATATGTATATCACCTTAAATGTGGATTTAATACAAAAGCTTGTTCTAAAGAAAGTGAGAGAGACAATCAGTACCATTAGAGTCATAACAGCATATTTATGTTATTCATAGTCATCACCACAACCCAGGCAGGTAGTAGATGTGTCCTACAGCAGGAAGTTACACATCTCATTCCTGAGATTTTTTTGTTAAGGATCAACAGCTGCAGATATACAATACCAAGGAGCAGAATCACCTCTGCTTATAAATACTGATCACAATACCCACAACAGGTCTGACATGTTGGTGGTCATATTAACTCCATGAGGGTTTCCCCAAGGGGGGAAAGGAGAGGCAGTAGGTTTTTTTCTATTTCAAACTCCACTCCAAAGTTCAAGAAAACTCACCTGAAGGTACATGGGTGGCAGAGAAGTAGGTGGATGAAAGGGTGACCTTGGGCTCTGGGTACCCTGCTTGGCTGGATGAGAAGTGTCCTGCTCCAGGCCATGCTGTGGAAGATGGGAGGAGGCTAGTATGGGGCTCCCTGGCCATGTCTGGGTGAGACGTGGGGCTTTCTGCTGCTGTGCTCCACATGCCACGGTTAGCTACAGCCTTAGATGTCCCTTTCTTGTGGCTGGAGAGTGTGGTCGAGACATATATGGTCTCAGTAGGAGCACCAGAAACTCTTCTTCCTCCCCCTGGAACTGCAGATCAGATATATACATAGATTTATATAACAATATTTATTTTGCATATTAATAATACTTTTGAAACCTCTACAGGGACTAAAATCTGAATATGTCAATTCCCACAGTGGAGGTGTCACTTGGTGACCAACATGACTTATTTGCTAAGTGAGGTTCTCAGGCAGTCTGTACTTTCCCCTTTTACTTTTCTGGTATTTTTACACCAGAAAAATAAAACAGATTAGAGTGTGTGGTGTTTCTGAAGGAGAATGGTGGCAGGAATGTAGGAACTAGTCTTGAAGGTCCTGCAGAAAATTCCCTTGGGCAGACCAGTAGCTTTCAAACCTGCTCTGATGGGACCCTGGCAGCAGAGCTGAGGCTGAAACACACGATAACTGGGATATAAGGAATGGGAAAAGGTCCACCAATTCCTTGCCACATCTCATGCCAGGCTTCCCTGGTTTGAGGGCTGAGGTCAAGGCTACATGGCAGTCTTCACATACGGCCCAGAAGAGCCGCCTGGTTACCTAGTTCCCAACACAAGAAGCTCTGCCCCGAGTGCCATGAGGTGAATAGCTCACCAGCTATGCCATGCTCAGACACCCTTCACTATAAACCAGCCTCACTAAAAAGGCAAATCTAGTTTAAAGCTAGATGACTTGGGAGCTCAGGAGGGTGGCAAGGAGCAGGGATGTCCTCCAGATCAAACCTGGAAATCACAAGACCCACCTGAAGCACTCGGTGGAGAAAATGGCACTGAAATGCTGGGATAAAATGCAGGCAGTGGCTTTGTTGCAAGCTCAGAAAGTCCACCACCACTCTGTGAAACACTGCTCTGCCTCCCAGGCTCTGTTGCTGGTGAGGATGGTAGAAGGACCACATTGAAGGAGCTGGTGCGGGGCAGAGCAGAAGCAGAGCTCCCTGCTGTGCTCGATGCTGCATGGGTGTCTGACACAGGCGCTGTGCTCCTCTCCCCACCGCTGGTGGTTATCACTGAGCTAGGCATACTGGTCAGAGGAGCATCAGGCACAAGTCCTCCCGTTGCCGAGGTCCCTTCAGCTGGGAAAGAGCAAAGCAAAATGGATTTATACACCCTAAGCTATAAACAGGTGGGTGTGCTTTCTTCCATCACCACCCTTAGGCTGATGGCACAGATGTAATATGACAGAAGATCCAAACCTGGAGAAAACACTAACTGTGAAGACACAACCCTTTCCTGTGCAAGAAAGTGCTGCTTACAGGAGAACACCTTGAAAAAGGCACCAGGAAGAAGCTGCGGGAACTCTACTGGCTTTGCTTCTCTTCAGTGCTGCTCCAGCACCACAGTCCAGCCCAGGAACAGCACACCTGCACTGCCACTGTGGTGAGCGGTGTGTGGTGTGTGGTTACAGCAGCACTGAACTCCCTGGTACTCGAAACAAAGCACAGCAGGCTTGTATGGGATCAGTAAATACTGTATTTGCATCCCAGGGCGGGAGCCTGGAGTGACTAGTGTTACCTCCTGCTTGTATAAACACAGCCAACAGGGCAGTCTTGAAATTGTGCTGTCTCAGAAAGCACACCAAATCTCAAGGCCAGATTGCTCTTGCAGTAAGACTGGGTTTTTTCTGGCAACTAAATGCAAAAAACAGCTAATGCATTTTTCTTCAGAAGTTGAAGTTTTCTTCCATAATGCCCAACACCATTGTCCAGCACTTTCTAGCATGCCCTCACTCCTCCATTCAGCACAGTTGTTAGAGGTCTATAGGAAGAAGCCTCATGGGGACAGTCAGAGCTCACCTGGGGAAGTGCTTTCTGAAGCAGATGATGAGCCTGCAAGAAACGGGTCCTTGGATGACACAGTGGCACTTCTGCCACCACCACCCTGGGCTCCCAAAGACGACTGAGTATAGTCTGGAGAGCTGATGGTTCTGGTACCAGTGGTGGAAATCTCTGTTGTTCGGGACAGTCTGGTGCTGGCTGGCAGAGACCTTAACGTCCTCCCTCCACCCTTGGCAGCTGTTGTGGAAACAACGGTACTGGTGGTAGGGAAATCAGTTCTTCTGTCTGTTGACAGGATGGTGAATGATACATGGCTGCTTCCAGTAGCTAAGAGGTGATAAAGAAATAATTGAAATTTTTACACATATGAAACTATAAATAAACAGATGAGCTTTCTTCCAGTAACACCAGAGGCAGCAAGTACATGCACAAGTAGTAAATATGGAATCCAGAGAATTATCAAGTGAAAATAGGAAATTTCCAAAGACATCAATCCTTCCTACAGAAATTTGTCTTCTAAAATCATGGTTTGATGGTGAGAAAACTGCTATTATATAAAAACTGTTGATCTATTAACACTGTGCACTTGATTTCACCATTATGTGCCTGAGTGCACTCCATGCTGCTAGAACAAATACTATAACAAGGCAGAAAAGCCTGGAAATCAGTTCAGACAAGGAACTACGCTGAGCAGTGTGAGGGTCTTCAAGAAGGACTCTAAAGAAATGAGACTGGGGAATCAGACCTCTTCAGCACCCCAGCAGGGTTTTGGGCTGAACAGTGGCATGAAGGACCTCAGATACCACATCAAGGGGTAGAACAGAAGGCAGGCACTGAGGTCTGTCCCTGGAACTACAGGGACATGATCTAATCCTTGATATAATCCTTAGTTCTTTTGCCTATTAAATGGAGATAGTAACCGAAGATAGGAAAAAAAGAATTGTGATTTGTAAGTTAATTATTTTTCTTGGCATAATGAAACTTTCCACACATGTGCCCTTTCTGTAAAAATCCCAAACTACATTATTTAGTCAAGCAAGAGCCGAAATGTTTCAGACAAAAAAATCACACTGTATCCTTCCAAACAACACATTCTGAACAGCAGAAAAGAGTCAGGTAAGTGTGAGATATAGTAACAGTCCTCCTTTTATTTACAAGAAAAATGGTATTTCACTTCTACCATGAGCTCACCTGAGGAAGGACCTTCTGAAGGAGACCGAGAGTGTGTGAGCAAAGAGTCTGACACCTGCTTGGTGAAATCCGTGATTTCTCTGGACCCATGAACTCCATAGGTCTCTTTCACAGAAGACGTGGACAGGGACAGGATCATGCCTAAGGTCTTGTACATGCCACTACTGGGCGTGGAGACTTCTGCTGCCCACCGGCTAGTGCTGGTGGCAGACCTTGGGGGCCTCCCACGGCTGCCTGTGGCCATGGCTGAAATGAAAGTGCTGGTTGGAGAGGAACCATGGGGGTTTTTTTCTGTCGTTGAGCTGTCAACTGGTTGGTGGCTGCTTCTGACACCTAAGATAAAAAAAAAACAGTTTGATTTATGCATCTAGAACTAGACATCTGAAGGATTGTTTGTACATTACACATTTCTATACTGTTCGTTGAGAAATTGAAATGACCAAGTTCTTAAAATGGAAAAGGCGCAGCTCTGGGAAGAGGTGAACCCCTTACATCCAAGCACATGTGGCTTAAAAAAAAGCCAGGAAAATCTCAACTTAAAACCAGGTTTCTGAAGTACAGGCTGTGCAGAATACCCAGTTTATGCATTTAAGCTGCCTTTGAGCATGTTTAAAACTTCAAGCTAAATCTAAAGGGTGAGCTAAAACAGGCCTCGTTTGGGTTTTCTAGTGATAGTTCAGAGAGCCAAGCTGCCATCTCAGTGCTGGGCTGACAGCACAGATGTGGGGCCGAGCGCCCCGCAGCACTGGGCACCCAGGTTCATGCAGGACAGGACACAGCCTCACCCACAGGATACTCAGAAACACCCAGATGCCCCAGCCTGGTGTTCGACACAGCCTGATGTACCCCATGTTTAGAAGGCGTGCTGCCCAGGGCTTTCCCAAACTGCAGCACTTGGGATGCCAGTATTTCACCAGCTCATCAGGAGCAGGAGCTGCACTACAACTCGCAGAGTGATGGGCTGAATTATGAATTAATGGTGAATGGTGGGGGAGAGTTCACTTGGGATCACTCCAAGGGCATGAGGCAAGTCAGCACTGTTGTGGCTGTGGGGACTCTCAGAATGCTGCCTCTCTTACAGACCAGCATGGCATATGCAGTGCAAGTCCCCAGCAAAAGTGTCTCTTGGCATGGAGAAAGTGCATGCACATATTTCTGACCAATGCCTGCTTTTCCCAGCACAGGACTT